ATGCGGTGCCTCTGTTAATGCTTCCTGGGGTTGCATCTGTGCCCCTGCAGTTCTGTGATGATTCATCGTGAGCTGTGTGTTTTCCGTGTTGGTCTCCTTCCCCCACTTCCTCATGGGTCAGTGGATTTTGAAGACTAAAAGGTGGACATTTCAGTTTGTCTCTGTATGTTTCATCTTGTTCAATGGTGTGCCTGTCCAGCCTTTTGAGGTCCACTGGATACTTATTCTTGATGTGTTTGCTGTTCTTCTCGACATTTTCTGAGTGGCTTTAACCCACCCAAGTGGCTTTCCCTCACCCGAGATTATTAACTCACTGCTTTCCCCTGGAGAGTCGTCAAGGGGGAAATGATAGCTTTGTTACTTGAAGACAGTCTTAGGAAGCATTCGCTTAATTTTTGGGGAGAACCCAAACAGTGCTCCCCTGTCCGAGTACTCCCCTGAAGGGAAGTGCATTTGCCTTCCTTCATGCCTCCTTGTGGGAAACCTGGCCACATGGCTCCAGTCCCCCGCTACCCTCATGGCCACTGTTCCAGGGTCTCAGGGTGGCAGAGAGGTGTCAGCGAAAATAACTCCTTGGAGTTACTGGTCTTCCTTGGAATTGGGGTTTAAAATCTGTATTGGTTTCCTAGGGCAGTCGGAATAAATCACCACAAACTTGGCTTCTTAAAACAACAGAAATGTATTCTCTTATGATTCTGGAGGCCAGAAGTCCTAAATCAAGATGTCTGCAGGGTTGGTTCCCTCTGGTGGCCCTAAGGGATAAAAGCCGTCCCCTGCTCCCAGCTCTTGGTAGCCTCCAGCAGTCCTTGGCGTTCCTTGGCTCATAGACGCTGCACTCCAGGCTCTGCCTCCGTCTTTCTGTGGTGCTCTCTGTCCTCTCCTGTTTTTATAAGGACACCTGCCATTGGATTTGGGACCACCTTAAATCCAGGAGGATCTCATCTTAAGATGCTACACTTAATGACGTCTGCAAAGACCCTTTTTCCAAGAAAGGTCACATTCACAGGGGCTGGGCTTAAGACTTGGACATAATTCTTTGGTGTCCACTGTCCATCCAGCTATAGAATCCAGATGGTGGCCATGGCTTGTGGTGAATCTAGACCCTGTTCAGATGTCTGTGACACAGCAGGATGCCAGGGACCCAGAGTGGGTTCTCACAGTGGGGTTCAAGGGTCTCCCAAAGCCCACTGCCAATTCTCTGAGCAGATCCAAAGTATCTAGAGGTGACTGAGAGGCCAAAGGAGTCTCTTTTCATCCAGCCCAGGAAGGAGCGTGACCTGGCTCTCAAAGGCTGTAAATGGGACTCACTTTAACCCACCCCAAACAGATGAAAATCAGCCGTTTCACCTGCTGGGGGTGGGCTTGCCTGGTTGGAACAGTAGGTATGTCCCAGTTTTTCCCAGGGATTACTTCTTGATCTCTGAAGAATTGTATGGAATCAGTAGATCCCTCATAAAGTGACTTTGTATTTAAAATCAAGACAGGCTTAGGTGCTTTTGTTTTACTTATGAGCCAAATATCTGCAAGAAATGTTATTACCACAAAGAAATTCTCAGTATGGAAACCTTCAGCCAATGTTTGGGTTTGTATGAGGTAATTTATGTGATGGAATTCCAGTTCCGCCAAACAATTTGGGTAGTTCTGTGGGCATCTTTGGTAAAAACTGGGCTTCAAATTCTTATTTAACGTGGGATTTTATGACATTTTCAGAAGCATCTGTTACTTTTCATTGACGCAGTTTCTTGGGCTGAGCCATAATATTGACAGGACTCGTAGGAAATGTGTGAGCCAGGAAGGGTACCCCTCGGACCCGTTGCCACCTGGCACCCCTCAGTGCACACAGCCAAACCCTGCTTGAAGGTTCACGTGTATCTGATTTTGGCATTTATTGACCAGTCATTTAAGTCATAGTAACTATGAGCGACCCTATGGTGACAGATGCCGTGTTTCAGTTTCGATGTGTCTCCTAATTCTGAAGAAGGAAAATAGCACAGGTGATGTTGGGGACACCAGTAATAAGCTGATGTGGTGTTGTCGTGGGGAATATTCTCAGGTGAGTGTGGATCTGGGGAAATCCACTCAGTGACCACCGAGTACCTTTGCTGACTGGTCCCTTTGGACAGTTTGGCTGACCAGGCTGTGGTAGACGGAACACTCCTGTTCCGGTGGGTGTTTTGATTCTAGGAACTCTGTGGGTAGATCTCAAACCACTCGCTCAAGACTTCCAAGAGGTGTCCTCTGGAAGGACATTGGCCGTGGATGAATTCTAGCGGGCTGTGTCAGAGGCACCCCATGTGCCAAGGTGGGCTACGGAGGTGGATAGCTTCTGGGCCTGTCCCTGAGAAATGCTGATCCCTGTATCATGACCTCAGTTAGAGGGGAGGGCGGTGGAGGAGGCACATTTGCAACAGACCCTGCTATAAGGGAGCACAGTTTTTGCAGGACAGTGTGTGGCTGAAGGTCTGGGTGTATTTGGAAGTATGGATGTCAGATACCCGGATGCCTGGGTGCAGAAGGAGAGTCACAGGACAGACCCTCTTTCTTTCCTGTGATATGGGTGCAGATGAAGAGTCCCTGGAAAGAGGGGAAGCCAGGTTGGAGAAGCTGAAGGAATAGAAAGTATAGAGCTTCGAGGAGAGAGAAGCCTGATCCCGCAGAGCCATGTAGGCCACATTTTTCATAAGCCCGGTTTCACCCTTGATCCAGAGATGCAGGTGACACAACGAAGGCTGTGAGTGTGTGAAGGGTTCTGGGAAGAGCCATGGGGCTCATGATGAGGTGTGTGTGCAAGAAGAGAGTGGGACATATGGCAGGAAGGTTGAAAACAGACAAAAGGGGCTGTAAGGAGAGAGAGGGGAGAAAAAAGAATAGGAAATTCACACCCTGAAAGTTCTGTTGAAGATAAAAACACTTTGTTTTGTTTTGTTTTGTTTTGTTTTGTTTTGTTTGAGACAGGGTCTCACTCCCATTGCCCAGGCTGGAGTGCAATGGCATGATCGTGGCTCACTGCAGCCTCAACTTCCTGGGCTCAGGTGATTTTCCCACCTCAGTCTCCAGAATAGCTGGGACTACAGGCACGCACCACCATGCCTGGCTAATTTTTTGTATTTTTAGTAGAGACAGGGTTTCACTATGTTGCCTGGGCTGGCCTTGAGCTCCTAGGTTCAAGTGATCCTCTCACCTCGGCCTCCTAAAGTGCTCGGATTACAGGCATGAGCCACTGTGCCTGGCCCTGACATTTATTAAAATGGCAGTGCAGGCCTTCTTCAGGACCATGGTAGTAGGTATAGGGACTGCCATGACAGTTTTCCAGTAGAGGAGAGAGACTCCGAATACAACTAGGAAAAGTAGGGATTTTAAAGCTGAGGCAGGTGGATCAGTTGAGGTCAGGAGTTCAAGACCAGCCTGGCAAACGTGGTGAAACCCCATCTCTATGAAAAATACAAAAAAATTAGCCAGGTTTGGTGGGTAGGCGCCTGTAGTCCCAACTACTCGGGAGGCTGAGGCAGGAGAATCGCTTGAACCTGGGAGGCGGAGGTTGCAGTGAGCCAAGATCACGCAGCTGCACTCCAGCCTGGGCGACACATTGAGACTCCATCTCAAAAAAAAAAAAAAAGCCAGGAGCAGGGCGAGGGGGTTGGTGGCTGGAAAGTTACTAAAGGGAAACATCAAGGGGGAAGGGGTGGGGATTCCGGCTAAACCAACCCGATGGGATTCTTGCTGGAGACAGGCCAGGTGGCCAGGCACCTCCTGGAGGTGGTGGACCAGGAACCTGATCGGATAAGAAGGGTGATCAGTTGTCAAGGGTGGGGGATTCTGGCTGAACCAGCGTAGCCGTGTCAACAAACAGCATTTTGACAAATTTAGTTTAAAGATCTCCCTGGTGTTTATTAGCACGGTCCATAAACAGGGCAGCATCCCATTCCTGTAATACGAAGGTGCCCCTGTGGACCCAGCCAGGTTCTGGCTTTATAGGCAGAAATGGGCTGAAGAAGCAAAAACAGGGAACAGAGAGTGGATTGTTCATTTCAAAGTGACTTTCCTTCTAGGGTTAAAGCAAAGGGGACATCTGACTGGTTGCTGTGAATCCCCTGGTTTTTGGAAACTGGCCCGTTCTGAGTTCAGTTCAGTTACGTGGCACCTAGCACAGATGACTGTTCTGGCCTGTGCAGAGGCTCGGTCCAGAACAGTAGCCTCTCATAAAGTTCGTTTAACAGCAGGATTCTTGGTAAAATAGGGTGATGCAGAGATGGACGTGGAGGTAGAAAAGTTGAGGTTTACTTGGGAGGAGGATACAGAGGAGCCCGAAGTGGGTCAAGGAAGACAACCAGTTCCTGTGTGGCAGCGATCTGCCATAGCGTGTGTGGTGTCTATGAACAGATCCATGTCCACAGGTAAACGTGTAAGTCTGCAGGTATTCACGTGCATATGTGGGGGTGCTTTTATATTGTGTTAAAAACGAGGTCCCTACCAACCTAGAAAGACATATTTCATCATTTTTTTTTTCAATGTCAGGAATGTGTATGCAAAGGACTGGGAATTTCATGTGAAATTGTAATATTGCGAGAGCAACAGATGCTCTTATTTTTGCTCCCTTCAGCAGAGGAGAGAGGAATGAGAAGGTGTATAAAATTTTCATGGCTTCTCTTTGCTAGTGTACCATTTTTGTAATCTGGTGTTGTTTGAAGCTCCCTGTTACTGTGAAAACAGAGGCTGCCTGAGATGACTAGAACGAGCAACAACAGAAAAGCGGCCAGTGGCTTGTGTGGGGCCAGTGTAGACATGTCTGGATCTGGAAGAGCTTAGGTGACCACGAGAAGGGTGGGAGCTCCAAGGGACAAGGGAGGTGGCTCATCTGCAAGGGAAGGAAGAGGGGTGGTTGTGTTTCAATCAGGAAAACTGGATAAGATAATGTAATTGTACATTGATTTTCATTGTCACCCAAATGGTGTGATTGCACGTTCATGGGTGGTAAAAATATACATTTATTTTATTCACAGGTTGTACTCAGACTATCTCTACTTTGCAAGTTCGAATAAATCCGCAGACGACTTCCATGAGAAAGTGACAGAAGCTCTGCAGCTGTTTGAAAATTGCATGCTTGATTATTCACTGCGCGCCTGCGTCTACAACAACACCCTCAACAACGCCATGCCTGTGCGTATCCCCCCGAGCTGGCCCCCGGCAGAAGGAGCTGGTTTGTTGTTATTATGCAAGTGGCATTGTGGGCTTGGGTTTTAGCATAGGAACAGAGAGAAGCGTTTTAATGTGCAAATGCTGTTCCCCATTATTCATGGATGTAAAAACTGAAAACTGATGGGCTCTTAGGCTGGCTCCCTGCCTTCTTCCCTGCTGGTCACCTGCCACCTCCCCCTCCTCCCTCAGCAGGAGAATGAGGGTGCGTTTAGGAAGATTACCATTTAGCAAGACACCCGGCAATTAGAATCGGCAGACGCGAGGACACCCGACTCTCAAATTGTCTTAAGAGCATTCTCTCGAGCGGCGGATTGTTTTGTTGGTTTAAAAAATTACCCACCAATGATTTTCAATGCTTCTTTGACAGAGTCTCAGTTGAAAAATATTTTCGGTTGATTCCTCAATCATATCTCTTGTTCTTCCTTCAGAACTATGTCTGTACATTTCTAGTCTTTTCGAATGCTGTTAATGGTGAATTCAGCACCTTTTAGCCCTGGGATAGTTTTCTATGCTGGGCTCCCTGGGCTGGCTGTGTGCTTCAGCAGCAGGGCTTATGCAGCAAGGCTAATGCCGCTGCCTGTTCCGGAGTGGCTTTACAATCCTTGCTCTGCTCAGCGTCTCGCATGGCAAGGCAGGAACAGGCCTGCTGTGGAATCTCGGAAGGCCCCAGGGTGGTGGGACTTCAGGCCTAGAGGCCCTGTCCCCTCTTTCTTATTACAGAGGCCGTCGGATCTGGGAGGCAGCATGCAGGGGCAGCGGGTGGGATTCCAGCCTGCCCTGTTGGACTTTGTAGTTTGGCAAGGAAGATGCCACAGGGACACAGGTACCCCAGAGTCTGCTCTGGTGCCAGGTGGGAGGAGTGCACTTTGCAACCAGCCATTAGTGTGGATCAGGTTTCTAGCTTGGCCATTTGCTGGCTGTGTGACTCTAGGCAGTTGTCTCAGCCTCTCTGAGACTCAGTTGCTTTGTCACACAATGGGGTAATAATACTGCTTTACCAGGCTGTTGTAAGGATTAGAGAGCGATGAGTCTGTCTTGCATTCCTGCATTCATTCTTGCCACTATGTCCCCTGCATGGTGCTGAGTCCTGGGGCCACAGCAGTGCCAGGACAGGTGTGGTCCTTGCCTTCCTGTGCAACTGGCAGGGAGAGAAGATGGAGGCTGGGCAGGGAGCTCTGGCCACCAGAGAACCACCTGAGAACAGGGCATCAGGCAGGTTCCTAGGAGAGGGAATGTCTGTGCTGAGGCCCGAAGGAGAGTTGGCCAGGGAACTGAGAGCAGCGTGTGCAAAGGCCCAGTGGTCAGCACCACCTACCATGCAGAACACAGCCAGCCGCGTGGTGTGGGAGATGGGGGGCACTGAGGGAGGGGGCTTGGGTGTGTGGCACGTGGGGCCGCACCCCCAGGACTTAGTGAGCCTCAGAAGAAGTCTAGACTTCACCCTGAGAGAGATGGGACCCCTCGGAGGGTTTTAAGCGGAGGATAGTGTAGGAGTGGAAAAGGAATATCTCACTACTATGTTCATGGCTGAGGCACCTGTAATAAAAGACTAAAGCAAGAAAGCACACATACTTGTTTAACGTAAGTTTCATGTAACCCGGGAGGGAGCCTTCATAAGGAAACGGAGACCCGGAGAAACAGGAAACCTGTGTGTGTTTGTGCTTGGGTTTGATGAAGAGAGCAGTCGGGCACAGGGCTATGATTGTCAAAGGGGGAATGACCCAGTGGCTCTGCGGCCACCGTCACAGGGGACACAGGGTCTTGGAGAAACTTTATTTGTGTGTGGCTTGGCCAGCACAGCTTGTTGACCCAGCTTCGTGACCCAGAACTGCTCTCACCTGTGACTCTTGGCCCTGGACCCCTATGGAGTGAGTCTGAGAGAACAGGCAGGGCAGCCCGTCTGGCTCTCAAGGTGGCTCCCTGAGGGCGATCTGAGGGCTGGGGCTGGCAGGAGGAAAGGGGCGCCAGCAGGAGGAAAGTGGCGCTGGGCGTGACGCCTCAAGGTGGGGTTGTGGTTTCTTCCAGCACAATCACGACGCTGAGCAGAGAGGGGTGCCCAGCGTGTGCTGACAGACACAAATCAAGTTGCAGCTGTGACTCAGGCCAGGCCCATTTCGTGCCACATCTACACTTTCCTGCTACACGTGGCTCTTCCATCCTGCAGGCCCCACATGGAGGACCCTCAGTCCTGGCATAAACAGTAATCACAGCAGCTAAGAGCCAGGGCTATCATGGGTCACATGCCGAGGTGGCACGCACATCGGGGAACATACTCGCGGACTGCGTTTCCCCATCATCCCAGCATGCCTGATTCAATCCACCCACAAGTCCTTTTCCCTCCTTCTCCCAGTTATTTCTAGAGAGCTCCACTGTTCTCCCACCCTCTGCTACTGCCCTGATTCAGCCACTGGCCCTTTCATTGCAACCCCCACCTGCACAACTTCCCTCTCTCTGGGAGGCAGCCCCTCCCCAGACCCCTTCTCACCTTGATCCGTTGCACCAGGCATCTTTCTGAAATGCCAAACTGCCATCACTATTGATGGGGTTCAGGGCACACTGCCCCAAAATACAACAGCTTGGCATTTGAGAAAACAGCAGAAACAGGAAGGCCACCCTTGCCTCCCTGTCCCCTCCTCCCCGCAGCTGGCCGTAAAACGCTCAGAGCAGAGGTGCCCTCCCTGTACGTCTTCATCTCTGAAGATCTGGGGGCACAGAGGCGAATCTGGACAGGCCTGGTTGTGTCTCCCCCCAGTGCGTGACCACTAGATAATTCCCCCTTACAGGGGTTCGTGGCTCCGAGCTCACTTCTTTGGCTGGCACTCACCCTCTCACTTAATCAGCCAATATTTATAAATGCAAAGCAAAGAGAGGAAATTCCCCAGCATTATTAAATGATATAATTTGAAATCCTAAACAACTGTAATTACGAACAAAATTTGTGACATCGTCAGGAGACTGTCTCCAGGTGAATTTAAAGCATGGCTCGGGGGGATTCGCCTACTTTAGTGTGGGAAGTGAGGGTGCACCTTTGTCCCCCGAGGGTCAGGTGGTGCAGGCCTCCGCCAGGAATGGATCTTGAGGGAAAAGTCCAAGGAAAATCCAAGAGGAACCAAATAGGAGTGTTGTCCTGTCTTTGATAGGGGCCTCGTTTAAGGGAAGGAAGAGCTTGATGCACGACCTTCAAGGCTTGTCTGAGGCCAGCACCCTGACTGAGGGAGGGATGAGAAGGAGGAAGGCATTGGTGGTTCCTGGCCCCATCCGGCCAGGTGACCCTGTTTGCCTGGCCCCCTTCTCTGCCCAAGTGCCTTCTGGTAGACAAGAGCCACCAGGTGGAGCCTGCCGAGGAGGCTATGTGTGCTCGTCAGAGTATGGATGGGAAGTGATGGATTCAGCTAGTGTAGACTCAGCATCAGCCTGGCACTAAACCTTAACACAGGCCCTTGCATGCCTGGGGCTTCCTACTGGGACAACTGAGGCTCAGGGAGGCAGCCTTCCTCTGGAGTCACAACCAGTAAGCAGAGGATATAGGACCCAAAGCTAGGCCTTTTAACCCAGCTTCCCCGAGACGTGTGTTTGGCCTCAACATTTCCCCAACGGTCTGATCTTCAGTGGTTGCTACTCGGCACCCATGGCGTGGCAGGCCCTGGTCCAAGAGAGAAGGTGCAGGACGGTACTGTGACCAGTTGTGTGCTTGGAATGAGGCATGTGTCCATCCCCACCTTGGCATTTCTACCACATTGTGCCTTTTGAAACTTTCTCCTGTTCAGTCTCCTGCGTGACTCTCATAACAAACCCGATGGGTGGGTGGGAAGACAGGAGTCAGTCAATGTCACTGTCAGCAGATGAGGAGAGCGAGGGGCAAGATATCCAGCTAATGTGGTCGCAGAAGGGGCCAGAGCCCTCCGCTGCAGGCCCTGGGACCACTGAGTTCTCTCTGCAGGAGACTGCCTGAAAAGGACTGGGAAAAGTGGGGCAGGTGTGGGCTTTGCACTGGGGACTCCTAGGAGGAAGTGGCTTAAGCTGGGCTGGGTTTTGATGGGCAAGGAGAGGCAGGGCAGGGGGAACTCCTGACCCGAGGCACAGTTTATTTTAATGGCTTTAAATAGTGTTTCTTGCTGCAGAAGAGCGAATATTTAATATGCATGTGCAATCTGCATGCTACCGTGCACTTTGTACCACGTAGAGCGTGCTGACCCCTATCCAGTGCCCTGGGGCCAAGCACTTGGACACTTTCTCCCACACAGAAGGGAGGGTGTGCCCCTGCCCTCCTGCTCCAGGTCGACACTCCGACTGAACTTGAGAGCGCTGCTGAACCTGAGCCATAAGTTCGTGGGCGCCATCGTGATCCTCCCCGTGTTGTGTATGCTTGAATCTTTCTGATAAAAGGTTTCTGAAACTCCATCTGTGTGAGGCGAAAGGGATCTAACCTTTATTCTTTACTGCCAGCCCCTGTCCCAAGTCCTTTCAATGCATCGTCTCATTAGAGATCCCCTGAAATCCATCCCTGCTTCACAGATGGGAACACTGAGGCCCACAGAGGTGAATCCTCCCACCAATAGCTGTTATCAGGCAGGCTCGAGGTTCAGTCCTGGGTCTGCTGGCCTTTGACACTCAGGGAGTTTTTGCCTTCCCTAGCTGGCTCCTAAAAGCAAAGGGTTTTGCTGGCAGGAGGCCTGGGCTTTTATGTTCAATTTTGTGTTTTGCTGAGGATGACAAGACAGTAGCTTAGCGGGTGCCTCTGGTCAAAGGAGATCCCCAGGGGCAGGCTCAGTGGACAGGAGGGATGTGGCAGTAACAGATTGTCCCTTAATCTTCTCTTCAGTCCCTGGAGAGCTCACACATCAGAGAAAGAGCCCCGAAATCGGAAACGCTCCTCATAGAGGTGAATTTTCATTTCTGGGAGGAGAAGCCAGTTTCCCTCCAGCTGTAAATCCCAGCCCGGCCACAGCCCTGGGAGGGCAGCTTTGTGAGGCACCCCAGGCCCTGGCACACCCTGCTGGAGTCATTCACCACCTTCCTGTGGCACCCAGACGCAGGGGCAGCACAGACCCCTCTGCCTCTGGCCAGCCCCCGCCACTGTTCTGCAGCACACCCCACCCTGGGGATGCTCAGAGGGGCCAGTGCGCCTGCCTCAGAGCAGGGTCCCGAGAAGCCTGGTGCCTGGATGAGCAGCAGCCACAGCCCCTGGGAACTTGTCAGAAATGCAAACGCTCTGCCAGCCCCAGACCTCCTGAATCAGAAACTCTGGGGACAGGGGTATGGTCTGTTTCTCAGGCCCTCCAGGTGGGTGTTTGTGGGCTCCGGTTGGAGAGCCACCAGGGCTCTTGTCATCACTCTCTCCTTCTTGCCCTCTGGGGTTGGGGAGACTTACTCCAGGGCTTGCTTTACTCTGACGTTCTTCTCTTTCTACCCACTCCTTTTCTCCACTGCGTGCATCACAAGGTGATCGCTGAAGTCTGTTTCTTTACCAGTTGAGCTCTGTCTCCACGAGATTGCAGCCTCCCTGAGGGCAGGGCCACTTCTGTTAGCAGCACATCACCATTGCCTAGGAGGGTGCCTGGCACATGGTGGCACGAGCTCAGCTTATTTGCCAAATGAATGAATGGGGACTAGTGGGGAGGCTGAGTGGGAACTCCCAACTGAAATCCCTAGCAGGGGACGGAGAGGCTCGGCCAGGTACCTGTCTGGGGAGAAGAGGGGACTGGGACTGTGCTCAGCTCAGCCTCGGATCTCGGTGGGGATTGCTCTTCCCTGGGGCCCTGCATGGGGGACAAGCTCCATGTGCACAGGTGACCTGGCTTCGGGTCCTGGCTTCAAGGGTATTGGCCACCAACCCTGGTAGCCCCCTGCCCTGCCCTGCACCTTCATGTTTCTGTCGATGAATCGGCTGGCGCAGTTAACTTCAGAGGCTTCTCGCAGCTCTGATGTTTTCTAATTTTAAGCACATTGGGCACTTGCCCTAAATACCCTTTTTATTTTTGTTCTATTTTGATTCTCTGTCCTATGCTGGGAAAAGATGAGGGAAAACAGGCTGCTGGGGGCTGTCTTTGTCCTGTCTTCATGGTGCATATGGTTGCAGTAGTGATGCTGCCTGCACCAGAAACTGTCACTTCAGGTGACCGCACTCCCCCTCCCTGGCACGGGGGCTGGGGGTTGGGGTGGGAATTGAGGGGACTTTGGGGTGGATGGATCAGAGGGAAGGCACAAAGCGGGAGGGGAGCTAGCCCCCGGAGAAGCAGCCAAGTGCCCGGAGGCCTTCCCCGCGCGCAGCCCCTGCGGTTTCCTCTGTTCCTCCCCTTCCTGGCTCAGCGCCGCCTGCTGAGGAGGACCATGCTGCGGTGCAGGCCTGTGTCCACCTGAGACCGCTCAGGGGGCTTTCACGAGGATGGGCACAAACGAGGTTTCAGAGAGCTGTCAGGTGCAAGTGCCCAGCCAGGTGCTCGGCAGGCCACAGCTGCTCTGAAACACCCCAGCTTGCCACAAACACCTGGCTGCTTTCCTTCTGGAAAGTTCTCCTGTTGAAAGGCACGTTCTCTGGAAAAGAAAAACCTCATCAGACTGGTCTCCCCTACGAGGGACGGCCTACAAGCCTGCCAGGGAGAGAATTGAAAAGCCCCAGGAGGCCGGTGACTTAACAGCAAGATGGTCTCGTCATGATTCGTCTGCGTTGGAGGCGACACGCATGTTTATTTCCGAGACTGGCACGTTCTCATTTTCTCTTTAGCTTCGGCCCAGCTTGAGGTCTTTTTTTTCTGAGCTGGCATGTGAGGTAGCAACAAAGTGTGGGTTGGAAACAGCTAATGAATTTTGAAGGCAACTTATCCACTGTAATTGCTTTTCTTCCTCCCCATCCTCCTCCATGGTTAGAAAAATAATGAAATGGGAAAAGAATAGTTAGCATCTGTACATATTTTGCCCAATCTTTCATTGTCTTGTTGTTAACACTGTATTCAGCATTTGCACCTGAGAACCATGTTGAGGGCCAGAGTGCAGGCTTCGCAAGGATGGGATGGTGGAGAAGCCACAGTCCCTGCCCTCAAGGTCAAGGTCCAGGTCAAGTTGGGCAGGAAAGGAAATGTGACATGAGAGTGTCTGCCTAAAAAATGGGAACTCCAGAGAGGAGCCTGGGGAGCCGGGAAGTGCTGCATATATGAGAGGATGAGCTGGAAGTTTAAGCCAGGCCCAGAACTTTCTATACATAGAAAGCCATGGAAGCTTTAAGCAGGGCTGGCTGTGGCTAGCTCACTGCTTTGGAAAACCCATGCTGGTGGCAGGGTGCAGATGGAAGTGCAGAGACCAGGGGAAGGAGGACCAGCCAGGAGGCTGTATCAGCTTCAGGCAGGTGTAGATGGGGCACAAACAAAGGGAGTGGTGTGAACTGGGGAGAGATGGGAGATGAGAAGTTCTGTGCAGACACAGATAGGCAGAGCAGGGTCCCTGGGCACTTGGAGAAGGGGCAAGGGGAGAAGTCCTGGAGAAGGGGGCCTCAGCGAAAGAGGAAGAGGCTGGTTTTTTTGTTTTTGTTTTGTTTTGTTTTGTTTTTGTTTTTCCTGGAAGCTTTGCTAAGAGTTTAGGGTGAACTGTGGAGTTAGAGGAAACTGTTCCCAAGACTGCTGTCACTTCTGACACCAGTTGCAAGTTCAGGAGAGATATTCCCCAACCCACCTTCAGGTTCTGTAATTTTCCAGAAGGATTCTCAGAACACACTAGAGGCTATTACGCTCTTGATTATGATTTATTACAGGGAAAGGATGAAGATTAAAATCAGCCAAGGGAGAGGAAGTGCAGGGGGCAGAGTCCGGGAGGGGCCCACATGTGGAGCTCTGGGTCCTTCTTTCCTGTGGAGTCATGGACGGTGTTAGTGCCACTGGCCATGGTATATGACAATCCTTGGGGAGTATTGCCAGGCCAAGCCTTGGGGGCCAGGCCTTTTACTGGGGCTCCATCACATGCAGCTCCTGTGGCTGACCTTTAGTCTCCAGTCCTATTAGAGTCAGGACTGATACCATGTGGCCCAAGGCCCCATCATAAAGCACAGTGTTAGCCTGCCTATGACCAAAACCCCCAGGCCAACCAGGACACTTCTGTCTGGTAGGATGTCCAGGGGCCTAGAGATCACCCCCCAGGAGCTGAGGGAAAGGCCAGAGTTCTCTTAGAATAGAGTGAAATCTTTACCACACAGCTTGCAGTAAGGCTTGAGAGAAGGAACAGAAGGGTGAAAACCCAGGAAATTGGTACTAGAAAGTAGAAAGGACTTAAATAGAAACATCCTCCTGTGGACTTGGTTCAGTGCTGATTAGATGCTGATTTACACACACCCTCACAGTCAAGGATGTTCCTCTGGCATCAGGCATTTGGCTCTTCACTCATCTAGGTTGTCTTTGGGGTGTCTGTGGTTGATTTTTCACAGCCCATTGTGTGCTGGGCATAGAGGTCACACTGGGAACAGAGAAATAGCCAGGATATTGTGCAAAGAACATGCGCACCATTGGTGGCCACAACCTTGACGTCTTCCCTGCACTTCAGTCCTTACCTGTGAAATGGAGGCATGGAGCTACCCACAGGGTGTTGTGAGGATTAAATGCAACCCCTAATATAGGAATTCTTTGCACATGTAGCACAAAACCCCCTGTAAAGAAGAAGAACACCTTGTGTTAAAATCCAGCTTCTGAAAGTAACTTTGCTAGGGTAACTCTTTTGTGGTATCCTAGTGAAATGCCATACCACTTTTGGAAAAGTGCCCTATGGTGTTGGGGCAACCGCTCCTGAAATAATGCCCTTCTTCTGTGGTCCTAGGTGAGGCTCCAGGTCGGGCTCTATGCTGTGTACCTTCTGGACTGGCTCAGTGTTTTTGACAAGCAACAGTTTCTCATTCTTCGCCTGGAAGATCATGCATCCAACGTCAAGTACACCATGCACAAGGTCTTCCAGTTTCTGAACCTAGGTATGAGTGTCGTGCTTAGACTGACGGGGCAAAGCATGAGCTCTGTGGACCTGTTCTGGGAGTCCTCTGGGGCAAATGCAGACCTGGTCAGCTGGGTAGGAATGGGCTGAGCTGGGAGACCTGGGGATGCCCTCCAGGAGGCCTGTTAAGTACCATTTATTGAGCACTAGCTGTACAAAGGTCATTGTGCACAGTATGGTGAGGGATTCTCTGGAGAGGAGGAGATAGTTTCCCTTCTGGGAACTTATGGTCTAGTGAAGGCAGAGGAAGAGGCCATAGCTCACCCAACTGAATGACAGGTAGGGTGCCATGGGGAAGGTCAGCACTGTCATGTAAGGTACGTGCTGATGGTTTGGGATCCCAGCTACTGCAGGGATGAGGAAGGCTTGGTGGAAGGAAAGGGCCTGAGAGCTGAGCTTTGTATGACCAACAGGATGTCACCGGGGAGCTGGAGCAGAGGACATGGGGCTTGGAGGAGGGAACAGACAGATCATTGCATCATCTCGGGTATTCTGGGAAATTCCTGGAGTCACAGCCGTGTGGCTGAGTTTTGGCTGCTGGTCATGGGTGCTGGGCCCCTGGGTCATGACCACCTGCCCTCAGCTTGTGGATACCAGCGCCCCCATGGGCCTGAGAGTCACTTTGTGGTGACAGGCCACACTGCTGACTGTGGTGATGGCTGGCAGAGGCATGTGCTGGCGGAGTGAGGGCTGCCCATGTGGACGGGGCACCCAGGGATGGCTTGAAAGGCTGAACAGGCTCAGAACAAGCCGCCCTCCTTCCCAGAACACCCCCTGCAGCCCTGACTGATGGTCTTGCCCGGGAACTTGGTTAATTGAGTGTTTCTGGAAATATATCTGCCTGCCACTGGGACTTGGGCCTCTTTGATCATTTGATTTTGTTTCTCCTTTTTTTGGAGAGCGGTAATGTGATCGAGTTTGATGAGTTCTTTCCCTTCCAAGGCTTAGACTCATCTTTCTTTGATTTGACCACATGTTGACTCTGTCCCATTAATGAGCTTGTCTTGTGTCCCCAAGATGGATAGTAAGGCCAATTCTGTATCTTATATGGCCCTAGGATGCTGGGACATGCTTTTTCTGTATATGGGCTAAGGACTTTGGCCAGATCCCAAGAGCCTTGGGTAAAGAGGCTTGAGCAGTGATGGGTTACACTAAGAAGCTGGGGCGCAGAGGGCTGGGCGTGAGGGTGACTGACAACCTCTGCTGACCTGTTTCAGGGCCTCTCCTCACTCCAGAGGGCGGGGCGTGGGGGTGACTGACAGCACCTGCCAGCCTGTTCCAGGGCCTCTCCTCACTCCAGAGGGCGGGGCGTGGGGGTGACTGACAACCTCTGCCGGCCTGATCTAGTGCCTCGCCTCACTCCAGAGGGCGGGGCGTGGAGGTGACTGACAGCCCCTGCCGGCCTGTTCCAGGGCCTCTCCTCACTCCAGAGGGCGGGGCGTGGGGGTGACTGACAACCTCTGCCGGCCTGATCTAGTGCCTCTCCTCATTCCAGAGGGCCGGGCGTGGGGGCGACTGACAACCTCTGCCGGCCTGATCTAGTGCCTCTCCTCATTCCAGAGGGCGGGGCGTGGGGGCGACTGACAGCCCCTGCCGGCAGGCCTCTCCTCACTGATCTCCTTGCTGCAGATGGAGGTTCAGCCCGTGGGGGCTCTGGGCACAGGTGGCCTCCCCACCCTCCAACCTATGGCCACTTCACAGCAAGACGCACAGGGTGAAACTGCAGGCCCAGGGCCCTTGGCATGAGCAGCCTGAAATAGAAACGATGATGGCGGAATTCCAGAGGGCTGCTGAGCAGGAAAACTGAAGCCCATGGGCTGTGCCCGGCAGGCCGCACGTTCCTCCAAGGATGGGTTGACACCCATGGAGAGTAGCCCACCAAGGGCAATTGGAAGGGAATCCTTGAGGTCAGCCTCAGACGCTGTATCATCATTAAATGCCAGCTGGGCTCCCCCGTGGGTGGGCATCCTGCACCCGCCACAGAGTGTCTTTGCAATTTCCTAATGGTATTTCCACTTTCCTCAGTGCTTCCAAAATGGATCCAGCCAAATAATTTTAATCCCCAAATACATTCTTCTTAAAGGAAAATCCTGCCTGAATACGAAGCATAGCTGGGATTTTTGCAAAGTCCTTTTTACTTCCTGCCATGCCTCCTGCCTTACGGGACTCCTCTTCTTTCATTCTAGGGCCCTTAAGTGAGAAGCAGGAGGCTTTGATGACCAAGAGCCCCGCCTCCAATGCACGGCGTCCCGAGGACCGGAACCTGGGGCCCATGTGGCCCATCACACAGAAGATTCTGCGGGATTTCTACAGGCCTTTCAACGCTAGGCTAGCGCAGGTCCTTGCTGATGAGGCGTTTGCGTGGAAGACGACGTGAGAGCTGAACTGTTGCTGCACGTGCTGGGCCCGCCAATGCCGTCATCACCAGGATTTTACAAATCTCTTTGCAGGGAACTGTTTCACTCATGGTATGGAAAACCCCAGGACTCCGCCTCTCTAGGCACACATGAATTATAACCATTTTGGAATTTCTTTTGTGATGTTCAAGAGCTCAGCAATGGACCCCTCACAGAGCTCCTGTCTGAGGCCAGTGGAGACCCCATTTCTCAAGAATTCAGCTCTGCTCCGAGCGTCCTGGAGCTTGGGGATGCAGCCAGCTGACCCTGCACTGGGTGTGGAGAGAACACCTAGGGAAGGCAGCCCAGCGCTGCCCGCCTCCGCCTTCTGGCGAGCCTCAGTCTGGGTTCTGAGTCAGCACGCCAGAGGTCATGCCACAGGGCTGGCTGGAACTTACACTTCACGTTCCCTTTTTTCCCTCTAGAGATGGGGTCTCGCTGTGTTGCGCAGACTGTCTGTATTCAATGGCTATCTTCACAGGTGTGATCATATCACATTCACTTCTGAAACGCTTGTTGGGATCGCTAAGCTCACTGGGACAGAGAACCGCAGTCTTTCGAGAATGGAGGCTCTTCATTTTTTTTTCTCCTTTACTCCAAAGTCAGCCCTCTAGTTTCTTCAGATGTAAACCCTGTTAACGTCACTGTTTCCAAAAGGAAAAAAATCAGTCAGTTTTTGGCAGCACCTTCATCTCTCTGACCTCCTCCTATTCTGTCCTTGTGGACTTTACTTACGTTTAACCTAGAAAATGAATACATTGAAAACAAAACCACTTTCTGCATTTAACCAGTCCTGGCTCGCTCTCTCTGCTGCCTCTTTATATGTCAAGAAATTCAGTTTATAATTGGAAGGGAAAATTTTGCTGTTAATGCCAGAATGAGCAACCTGAAGGAATTGAACACTTCATGGAAAATGTAGGTAATTCAAGCCCTCATCAGGTTTACAAGATCATCAGAGAAACAGAGGATTTTAATTTTTAGTTCTGGCCGGCTACAGGCTCCATTTCTCCGCCTTCCCATTGGAAAATGTTTATTTCCACATTCTCCACTACTTGTGGTCAAAGTTCCTCGCCCAGCAAGGGACTATAGATACCCATGTCCCAATTCCGAAACACAATGCATAAGCTGAACTTGGGCTGAACGTGGCGTGTTGAGATTTGGGATGAGGTTTCTAAGAGTCGTGTTCTTCATGGAATTTTCCAGGCTACTTGGCAGCTTGGTTTACCGATGGATGGGCAAGAGATCTTGTCATTTCTTGGCAGTCACGGGCAAGATTGAAGAGAAGACTTGAGCATCCTTGGCAACAGCCCAGGTGGGACCTGGATGAAGCTTTGCACTCAAGTGTTGTCAAGGGAAGCTTCCTGTGAACCAAAGTTCTCAGGCCAAGGTCTCGTCCACCAAAGCCAGAAAGTGCAAGCACCCGTCTACCCAGCTCTAACTTGCATGTGTGAGACAGACCGGGCTTTAGGGGTAGGAGGATCTGCAATCGCTCAGCCATCCCCTGGTGCTGTTGTCTTTCTGCCATCAGGGAAGGGACACACAGCCCATTTGAAGGTGTGCAGAGGGCTCTGAGCACCAGGATGGCCGGGAGCTATTCCTGCTACTGAAGGAGCTGTGTGTCCCGAACTCCCACTTGCAGGGACAGTCCCCACCTTCTCTATAGCCGGCACTGGGAGCAGCCGCCAGCAGGGAAATCTGGTCTGAGCACAAGGATGCTTTAGGGAGAGATCCCTTCAGTGTGTGTGTGTATTTATTTGCTGTACAGTGTGTGTGTGTGTGTGTGTGTGTGTGTGTGTGTGTGTACTCGCACGTGTGGGTGAGTGCGTCTTCTGAGTGAGTTCTGTTCAGTTCCAGTTGCTAATGAGGCTCCTCCGCTCTGGACACAACCCTTTTATAGATTAATTTCTCTGCCAATTAACTTGTCATTTTCAGTACATATTTTACTATTCCACACCAACCATAATTATAACAAGGGATTTTTCTTATGCACTCCTATGCATGTGAATAACATGTGGTGTAATTCTGCTTCTTACAGAAGTATTACTGAAGGTATTATTTCCAATATTATTTGGTTTATTATGCGGATCTTTTTTATATATGCAGTCCCATCCCTTCTGTGCCAATCAATGCCATCCAGACATGGTTTTTCCCTCCAGGGGCCTTTCTCCAGAGGGCACTTCTGCTGCCTCTGCTTCCTCTCGTTCGAGGCCCGGCTCTTGCTGACAGGATAGGTTCCGTTCTGGGCGGTGGTTCTCGAGCCTGCCATTCAAAACCAAAGTGAATTAGAGCATTTCTCATAACATGGTATTGAAGTTCCTTTTTGTTCTCAAAAGCTGTGTACCAGACTGTGTTAAATTGTACTCCCTTAGTCCTGTAAAGTATGTTCAGTAAATCGCAGTTACACTGTACTTTTATTAATATTTAACATAATTAAAGATGGACCCATGTGAGTGACGCCTGTGGAGCGGGTGCTCTTTCTCTGCAGCCAGGCTCTTCCTGGGGCGTGAATGAATCACAGTGGTTTAGTGTCGGACCTGCCCGACTTGTGCAGGCTCTGTGTAAAGGGGAGTTACAGCTGTGCTGGCTGCTGAGAGATCAGGTGTGATCGTGCTAGCAACAGGCAGAAGAAAACTCAAGACCAGAGAGAGAAGGATTCAGATGTTAGCAGGGACTCCCCGTGCGAGTCCTGTTGGGGTGTGAGTCAGGGTGGGAGGTCCGGCCCAGCCCACAGTCAGGCCTAGCATTGTCTTCAGACCTTCCAATTTGAAGGTTAGGTGACCACAGGCCTCATTCCGGTGGCCTGCCTGGTCCCCGGCAGCTGTGAGTTTGAGACCCCTGGTGTCTGTGGCACGTGTCCTTATCGCTGAGGGCAAGCCCGCAGGAGGAGGTGGTGTGCACTCAGCTGGGGCAGCCAGGAAAAAAAGATCACAAACAACAGAAACTGTTTTTCTCAGTCCGGAGACCAAAGGCCTGAGATCAAGGTGCTGCAGGGCTCGTTTCTCTGGGGGTCTCTCTCCTTGGCTTGCTGATGGCTGATGCTCTCTGTGTGTTCGTGTGGCCACACACACACGGCCCTGCTGCCTCTTCCTCTCCTTGTAAGGACACCGGTCGGAGGGGATGAAGGCGCGCTCTGACAGCCTCATCTTAACCTCATCACCTCTTTAAAAAACTTTGTCTGCAAATGCAGTCACCTTCTGAGGTACTCGAGATTGGGACTTCAACATATGAATTTGGGGCACACTTTTCAGCCCATACAGAGGGGACGTCTCAGGCTTAGGGCTCTGGAAGCTGGGCCATCCTGAGCACAGCGTGGACCCTGGTGGGTCCCCCAGTTCTGGGCAGACCTTCCTGGGGTTCCCTTTCTCCCCAGCACCGCCTCCCACGGTGGTGTGTTGAGGTTGGGGGCTGGTGTGTCCAGGCTGGAAATACCCATCTTTTCCCGCCAGCGTCCGGAATGGCTTTACCCAGCAGGGAATGGAGGACAGGTGGGAGTCAGGAGCAGAACAGCTGGGGTGCATCTTTGAGGGCTGAGGGCACGACTTCCCTCCCTTTCAGATTTCCTCTGAAAGCCTCTCCCGTGAGGCCACCCACTCCCCACCGAGAAACCAGCCCTCGGGAAGGATCCTGATGAGCACGCCTCCTCCCCACGGTGACCCTATTTGGGAACTGAAGCAAAGGCTGTGCTCCAGGTGGAGGAACTCCAAGGATCCCTGAGTGTGGAGACAGGGATTGTGTGGGTGGCTATTTTCCTGTTACTCCAGAAATCTCACCCTCCAGACAACTGTGCTGCCTATGGTGCGGTGGATCCCAGGGGGACTGATCGGAAAACATCACTGATAAATCGGGTTTTCCCAGCACTTCACCGGGCAGGGTTCTCTGCGGAGCAGCAGAGACACAGCAGGTCCCGTGGGGCAGACGCTGCATTAGCTGGAGCAGCCTGGGAGCTTCGTGAGTTTGTGTTGCTATAAAGGAGTACCTGAGGCTGGAAATTTATAAAGGAAAAAAGGCTTGTTTGGCTCACAATTCTGCTGGCTAAGGATTAAGCATCAGGTGAAAGCCTCAGGCTGCTTCACTCCTGGCGGAAGGTGAGGAGGGCTGGCTGCACAGAGGTCACAGAGGGGAGGGCAGGGCCGGGGGAGGGAGTTGCCAGGCTCTTTTTAACAACCTGCTTTTGTGGGAACAAATAGAGCAAGAACTCACTACCCCCAGAACAGCACCAAGCTATTCCTGAGAGCTCTGCCCCCATGACCCAAACAATGAGGATCAGATTTCAACATGAGGTTTGGGGTACACACATCCAAACTGCAGCAGCTACTATAAATCACCCCAAACTTAGTGGCTCAAAGCAACAGAAGTTTATGATCTCACGGTGCTGGAGGCCGGCAGTCTGAAGTCGGTCTCACTGGGCTAAAGTGCAGAGATGAGCAGGAATGGTTCTCTCCAGGGGCTCAAAGGGAGTCTGTTTTCCTACCTTTTCCAGCTTCGAGAGGCCGCCTGCACTCACGGCTCCTGGTTCTTTCCTCCATTGTCAAAAGCATGGCATCTTCAAGTCTAACTCTCTCCCTCTGCTTCCGAGATCACATGGCCTTCTCTGACCCTCATGTTCCCGGTGTCGTAAGGACCCTCGTGATGACACTGGGCCCACCAGATCATCCGAGATTATCTCCCCATCTCCAGATCACATCTGCAAAGCCTCTTTTGCCATAGAAGGGAGCATATTTGTAGTCTCTAGGGATTATGACGTGGACATCTTCAAAGGCCGTTATTCAGCCAACCACAGGAGGGTGGTGTGGAGAGCTGGCCAGTCGGGCAAGCATGGGATGGAGGGGGTACCCCCTGGCCGCTTCCCCGTGCTCTATTGTACAGCCCAAGCAGGTCTGAGTGGGGAGGGGCTGCCCTCAGCAGAAGGCCGAGCTTCTGGATGCATCATTCCGGGACAGTGCATCTTCCTGTCCAGGCAAGGCCCTATGACTGGGGTAGTGGAGTAGGTGGACAGGGCGATGTGAGGGGTCAGGCCGCAGACCCACCTCCTCCCGAATTCACATCACAGTGTTTTTCCCACGGAAGGTCACCTGGTTTCCAAGAGTCAGCCTTGTCCCCCACAACGGAGACAGGACAATTTCTCCAGCTCTTGGTAGAAGTAATTTTTGAGTGCTTACTAGTTATTTACCTTTTTGCTTTTTAAAAAATTTTTGTGAAGTTACTTTGTGAGTTTTCCAGGATGTGTGTAAACTACACACATCAGCCACCTGGGTAGTTTTGAGTTGCTGAAGTTCAGCTGTTGTTGACTTCACAGGCAGCAGCTGATGAAAGTTGCAGAAATAGTTAGAACATTTTCCGGTCCCTGTTCAGAGGTTGTTGACCTCCGTGGCCCCCAGCCTCATGGCTTTGGGCTTGGGAAGGCTGGTGTCCAGTCTCACTGATGGCTACAGACTGGACTCACCCCCACCATCTCTGTCCTCACCAACCCTGTCCCCAGCCCCGTGGCTCATCCCCAGTATCCTCTGCAAACCTGCTCCTACTCAGGTCCGGGGCAGCAGGCTGAGCACTGTGGGCCGTCCTGGGAGCCTGAGGCTGCACAGGTTGCTAACCTTGGATTGTAAGGCTGGGTATGAAGGCAGAAGGTGGGGATTCTCAGGCAACGCAGCAGGCCCGTGAGAGAGGCTGGGGAAGAGCACCAGGGCTCTCTCAATTGCCAACTGCAAGTGGCTGCGTCCTCCTGCCATGGGGCACCCAGGACCCAGCCCAGGCTTGCACCTGGGTTCTTCATTGTTGAACCTGTGGCAAAGCAAGGAGGAGACTTGGTCTCCTCCCTGCTGGGCAGCCTCTGCTGACTGCCCTATAGGTGCTGGGCACCGTGTCTGGGGCACAGAGACTGAGAAAGGCCTCCTCTCCCATGGTGGAGAGCCGCCAGCAGCATGAGGGGGCCGGGTTCCTGCAGGGTCCTTGGCAGCACTGAGGGCCAATGGGGATCCTGAGGGCTTTTTGGGGTGTACCGTCAGCTCTGCATGTTTTGAAAGGCCCCTTTAAAGTCAGGTCCTGGTCAGATCTAGAAGTGGGCAAGTCTCAGCTGAGGCTGAAACCTCGGCTTCCCTGAGCCTTGTGACTTGCCCAGGGTCGGAGGCCCAACGCTCCCTGAGGAATATTCTTCCTGGCAGGGCAGAGAAAGGCGGGGACCAGGGAATCGGGGTGGGGAAATCCCAGCTGCCTCTCCTTGCACCCTGGCCCATCTCCCCCAGGTCATGAGCCATCCCCTTTTGACTGTTTTTCCACCATAAGGGACTGTGATTTGCATCCACCAAACTCTGCCCCTGACAGGGACAGTGTGGGAAGAGGGTAAGCCCTGAGTTTGGAGCTGGATGAGCTGGATTCAAAGCCCAATTCCGCAGCAGAGGGCCTGGGACAGCCATCTCATAACCTTGGGTACACCACAGGCCCTTTCTGCACCCACAGGTCTGTCTTGCTCATGAGTGGGTCTCAGAGTTAACAAATATGGACTGAGGATCAGAGAGGCTGCACGCCTGCCTGAGGTCACACAGCTCAGATCCCCAGAAAGAGCAGAATGGCAGCTCAGACATTCTGAGTCAGTGCTTTTAACCATAGTGCTGCATTGTACACCCTTAGCACCAGCCCCAGGCTCCCATCCTCAGCAGCCTGTCTGCATTTCGAGGGTCAGTTCTCCTTCCCCTCCATTTCAAATGCCCCCCTTTCAAGTTCCCTCAGGGAAGGCCAGTGGTTTCTGAGGTCACCTGGGCCAGGGGTTTGTGCAACTTAACTCATCAAGGGTCTAGGTGATGACTGGGATTTCTAGGGGGAAACAAGGGAAATAAACATGACTTCTTCTGCCAAAAGGCTCTCTCAGCCGAAACTTGCTGGCATGGATATTCCCCATGCCCTGGGCTGGCTGGCGTGAGTTGTCTGAGCCTCCCTGAAAGCAGACTTCAGGGGCTGGCTGTGATGGGCTAGCTACGGAGAGGAATCCTGTGACCCCTGAGTCACATCAGAAGTAGATTGCTCCACCCCAGGGCTCAGCCCTGCCCAGGGCATCAAAGGCACCAAACAAACACACCTGAGCTAGAAAGCATAAAAAAGCCAAAATTTAATTTTCTCAGCAAATATTTTCTGAACATCTACTATGCACGAGTCATTGGGCTGGGCACTGTGGTGAGGGTGGGGCATAGTTCATTTGCTCATTCATTGATTCCTTCACTGGTTCTTCCAACAAATACTGAGGGAGCACCAGCCATGTCCTTGGTATTAGAGGCACCTGGGAGAGCAGAGCTGGTCCCTGCCTGCTTGCAGTGCAGCAGACAGATATTGATCAGAAACAGACAAGACATTGATCACAGCATTGCCTAAAGCATTTCAGAACTGCAACAGCCATGAGGGGCGATACTGGGGACAGTGACATATTTCTGGTGAGATACCCTCACCCCTCCCCAGCTACTCCACTC